GTTGTATATCGCTTGAAATATTTGTGGTAGAGTACTGGAAATTGGTACAGATATATGAAATAATTCCATACTTATGGAGCAAAATGGATGATATTCGAAAAAAGGGCGTGTCACCTCCCGTCTGTCTATATATTTATCGGTATATATATAAAAATATGGAGTTCGTTTGTAACAGGTCTCAAAACTGGAGAACGGCTGAATGGATTTGAATAAGTTTTTTTTTTTGGATTGTTCGGTGTAATATCGGGATCATTTGTAATCCAAAAAGTTGGAGGGCTACCACCCATTTGAAAATTTTAACTCAGTTGCATATTTCAATTTGGGTATCAAATGAAAAAATAAAAAAAGCGCAACGTAAAAATGTCCCATGAAAGCAGTTTAATAAATCCTACAGAAAAATTGTAATTGTTGTCACCATTCCCTAACATTATAAAAAAGTTACCTTTTAACCATAAACAATTTAATTTGGGGTCACCATAGCCTACTACGTATATTGCGAGTAAAGATAATATGTCTGCTTGAGCGTTGAGTTTCTTCGATTTTAAATGTCTAAGATTCTAGCTAACATACCCAAATTTTCCATAAACTTTTTTGCTAAATTAGATGAGCTGCTTCAGGCTCTCCCATTATATGCCTATTCAAACGTTCCCAAGTAAAGGCGTGAGCAGAAGGGTTTTTATGATCGCATGATGCAAATGTTAAGATAATAAGAGCTGTAGTACTGAACCACTCATGAAGCATTTTTTACAAGGGCGTCTAATTTCTGGCGTATGCCGATGGCATCGATATCATCGGACAAGACGAAGTATCTCCTGTCATCAAACAAACAGTCAGAGCATTCGCGCCTTGGCACCCACGTCACGGTTGCCAGTTGTAATTTCGAGAAAGTAAAGAATTTAGATTACTTGGATACTAATGTCAGCATCGAAATCCAATCAGAACCGCTCTAGCCAACAAGTGCTACTTTGTACTGAATAGCCAATTCGGGAGTAAATGCTCTCTACATACAAAACCCTCACTCTATATGTTACTCATCATGCTCGAGCTGGTATATGTCGCAGAAGCTTAGACAATGACAACATTTGATGAGGCGGCTCTTAGAGTATTCGAGAATATGTGTGTCCAGCTACAGAACGATCTATCAGCCGAGGTATTAACGCAATAATTACTGGCTATCGGGATTCGATGAGAGATCAGGATAGGATTCAAATTAATTATTGGAATCACAATTGGCTCAGTGAACGAGTTATTCTTGCCGACAAGAATAAGGATGTCTATGATTCATTAATCATTTGTCATCAATGTAACAGGAATATGCCGCAGCAAAGCGTACAGCTAGTAGACATATATACTAGGGTACAGCTAGTATACATATATATAGACAGATGGGAGGTGACACGCCCCCTTTTCGAATACCGCCCATTTTCTCCATAAGTATGGATTTATTTTATATATATATACCAATTTCCCGTACTCTACCACAAATATTTCAAGTGATATACAACATGAAAATTTTAGTTAGTATGGAAGGTGCCACGCCCCATTTTCCGAATACGGTCAAACTTCACATAAACCATCTGCATGATAACACGAATATACTGAATAATTTGGGTTGAATTCGATGAAGAACAGCTTCACACCAAAAACGTTCAGCTATTTTTATATAAAAGAATAACGAAACGAAATTTTTTTATAGTTGGCACCTTTCCAACAGAATTTGAGAAGAGGCCTTGCACTGAATTTTCTTATAAACATTTTGGCGAACGTTCGAAAATTACCTTCAGTATCCAATATGCTCGTAACCAATCTTAGTTTCCCAAGGATCATAGTGTATTGAAAATACATTTTAGATGGGTTCGAAAAAAATTAAAACCGTAGTAACAAGAGAGGAAGTGAAATCCAGCTCATTTTCGTAGGGAAATTTAAGACAATCACTCTATCTAATTAAAATTTCAATTCGATAATGGGCAGGATTTCGAATTCGAACGAAGTGAAAATACATTGGATGACGAAGGTTCCGTTTTTCTGGAAAATAGCCTGGTTCTCGAATCGAATACTAACCTATCGCACATTCGTTATCGAAGGCGAGACTCGAAAAACAGATTGGTTTTCCAATCATTTTCGAATTGTTAAGCAAGCCCAATGTTTATTGAGTTCTAATAAATTTTGAAACCAAGTATATCTTTAAAATTTCACAGTTGTCTTAAAAAATCCTGACGCCAGAGGGAAAAACTAAAAGCGCAGTTCTACAATACTTCGCTCCTAGTTTTCTGAGTTGTTTTTTGTAATGTTGACTTTTGCTCGGTGTAATCAACGTAAACGGTTCATTTGAATTTGAATTGGTATAGCCCACTGCAGACTTAATACAATATTTGACATACATAAAAACGATATTTATAATATACTGAAATTATTACACTTTATTATATAAGTACTTTTTACAAAACACTTTCGAGCCACAATTTCAAGACTGGAATGTTGGAGTAAATAGCTGGGTTGTCTTTGTTGGCACAACCATAACCCCAGGATACAACACCAAGCAACTTATTGTCAGCCACCAAAGGACTTCCAGGCAATTCACCACAAGCGTCGTTCGCAGCCCGACCGCAGAACTGTGAATTGAAAAGATCACCGTCTTCGTATTTGTAGCCTTGAGTAACGCATTTCTTGGCGCTGGTGATAGTTTCAATTGCTTCTACCACGGCGTTGTTTGCATCCCAACCGACGAGTACACCACTTGAAGGTAAGCTGCTTCCCAATGCAAGGTAGCTGCTAACACTTACGGCTTCGGCCAACTTCACGAAACCCCCCCGAAAGCTAATAACCTCAAGTACAAACTGTATCTTAAAGCTAAGAATCCAGCTCTCAAGGAAATTATAAGAAATATTTATTATAATTTCTGTTGCCTGAAAAAGCGCTTTGCTTTGGCTGTAAATTTCTATGAGGAAATAAATATACGAGAATTTTTTTCCTGAGAGCTGCAAACTGATTTAAGAAATTTTGGTAGAAAAAATTTCTTTTCCATTTCTCGTCCGTCGTTTTATATGAATTTTTCGTTTTTCTTGAGAGTTCAGGTATTTTTTTCGGTATTCGAAATATTAAAAAAATTTAGCAATCGTGAAAACTCACCATCTCTATCGAAAACCAGAAACCAGAAATCGAAAAAATGAACATAAAAGTGCAAAAATTTATGCAATCAATAAATTTATTTTTACTGACTCTTTTAAAATTTTTATTAGGTACTTTTAAAAGTTGAGCGCATCTTGAGTTTATAGAACTTTTTATTAAACAAGTAGTTTTTAAGGAAAGAACACAACCGACTTCAAATTTAGGGGTACCGTTAATTTCTTCATGATCCAATCATCGGATCTCTAAACCAAATTACGGGACGACCCTTGAGGTACCATCTTCAAATCGGTTCACGTGGTCAAAAGTTATGTATTCCGTTCAACAATTTTATAATGAGCC